CGCATCCTTTTTTTTATAACTACACCTGTGTAATTTTATTTATGTATTCCATATAATTAAGAGATATATAATAATATACGATTACTATAAAACGGCAATTTCGTACTTTAACCCGAAATGTAAACAATTTCTTACGACATCTATCTTAACATATTAAAATAGCGTTATTTTAAAATTATCGAAAAAATTATTATGATTTCACTAAAAAATATATAAATATAATTATGACGATTTGTGTTTTTATGTTTGGAACGAATAAACTCAAGACTACTGGAACGATTTTAAAAATTTGTTTACCATTATAATGCTTAGTAACATAATATTTAAGAAAACGGAGAATCAGCTGTAAGAAGCCGGGCAGGCCGTTACTGTTTGATAAAAGAACAGAGTTACAGCATCTACGTTTAGTAGAAATGTATATGTAGTTAATATTGGGTATATATACCTACTATCTATGTAAGAATATGTATGTGAACTTCAATAAAATAATAGAATGCGGTCACTTGTTATAATAATATAAAAACATCAAAATAGATAAAATATAATGTTTCAATCTAGGCTGTTGTTTATATTTTCGTCGGCTTTCATATTCAAATTTGGAAACATTTTTTTTTTATGTTTATAATTATACAGAGATACTGCGATTGATGATATTTGATTTTAATTTCATTTTCTCAGGGCCACCCAATAATCTCATAATACGTATATTAAAAAATAAAAAATAATAATTGGTACCTTTTCTGTCAATATCGTGTATAATATACTGTACTTAATTTTGATGGGAGTATCTGCGGAAGTATAGCAGAGAAGTAGATTACCATTACCATACCATTTGACCAGTCTGTATCTATCTATCTCTTTATTACTAGACCCAACTATCTAACGGAAATGATACGAATATAATTATGTTCCGTGTACGCGACAAGTACAGTTTTAAAACCTATCATAATTCCTATAATCAAAAGAGTATTTAAAAACTATGAATGGCGACCGAAGACATCGAATCGAAATCAATGGTATGTTCTAGGTCAAAGGTTTTTAACAGTTTTAAAAGTTCATGTCATTAGAATACTGATTCATCAATTGTAAGTCGACATAGTGACCTTGTCATGATTCACGAACAAAGCTTTTGTGGATAATTCTTCGGCAGCAAATACTCGATTTCAAATTCTAGGAGTTTGGTAAAAGGAAATATAATCAAATATACTCCTGCCAATTTTGTTTACCAAACCATTTATTTAGTTGATATTGATCAGAATTTTATTTTGATGTATAACTAAATAGTAATTATAAATATATACATACCGCGAAGTTTAAAAGTAATAAAATTATATAAAAAATCTGCAATTATTATACCAAACAATATATTTAGTTATCTCAATTATTATGACTCAGATTGATCAGAATTTTTGATTTGATGTATAATTAAGTTGTAATTATAAATATGTTTAGAAAACTTTTACACAACGAGTATTCATTGTATTCAAGTTTTAGTTAATTTCTACGGCTTACCTTGGAATTTGAAATTTAAGCACAAACTAAAACTTCGATAATAACTTTAAACTCTTAAAACTAACACTATATACAGCCTTTACGGCTTCTCAAATCTGGAGGTCTAAGTTACAAGTTGCGTAGCGTTTGTCGAGCAGAAAGCTCATGATGTCCGCCGCCGAGGAACGCGCGCTACGCTCTGAGACTTGCCGCCCGCCCAACTTACTTGCGATAACTTTGTCCGAGCTACGAATTCATACCGTTGCGTTTTACGACTCCCCGCCCGCCCTACGTATTGTTACAACGTTTGTTCTAAGTTCTTCAGCTTCACTTTCTCGCTTCAAGTCTCCAAATTAATTTCCGACTTGCAATTTATTTGTTAGGGTAGATTGATAGTTTAGTGCCATTATTTGTAACGCTGAATGAAACGAGTTAATTGGTGATTAATTTACTTCAATAAATTCATTTAAAGAAGTGTATTCGTCTTGAATTCGTAGTTTCAGGTCTCGCCTTTGATTGTAACTCTAATATCTTGAAATTGCGCATAGCGGAAAAATTTAATTGTTCAACGCTTTTTGGTTTAATGTAATGGTTTAATCATAAATAAATTGCTAGAAATAATTTGAGTCTATTCTATATAAAATAACCATTTTAAACAACAGGTACCAAACGATAAAGAGTAAATTAAGTGAGCTCCCATCGATACTCACACTCGCAAGTGCGTTGCCGACCTTTGAAGTATACAGAACGTGAAGAGTTGAGATTATTACAGATTTAGATTCACACGTATAAACGTGCTTGATTCGATCAATGTATACTTGTACATTCTTATATTAAAAGCCTTTAATGTGTCGTACGAAATATTTTCTATCACCCTTATTCATAAATAACTAAATTAACCTGTATATAAAAAAGACAGATAGTACTTTTGATACATTACTTACATTTTATCACTGATTTTTCTCTATTTTATATGATAATTTCTCTTGTTTTTCTTTTGTAGTTATTAAGGTAGCCGTTGGTGGGAAGATGAGAGTATTATTTATATAGTAGAATAAAGTGCTCGCTTTTCTCAAAAAAAATAATTTACTTTTGGCATATTTTTATATTCTTTGACGCCATCCGATCTACAAATAACTTATATAGCTATGAGATAAAAACGTTTTTCAAAAATTTAACGAAATTTTACTTTTATACATTACAGTTTTACTGTAATTTTAAAATGTGCGTAAAAAATATGTTATGAATTATCGCCGGTTTTTTAAATTATTTCCTATTAAACTCCGGTAAATTTAATAATGTTTTTAATATAAATTTGGACGCTGTATTTCTGCATGTATTGAGTTAAAAGCGCAAGTCGTGCCTCAGCATAAATTCACACAGGACTTATTTAATTTCCATTAAGAGCTGTAAAAGTGTTTTCGTTCAAAACAAAGAAATTTCTTGAGTAAATAGTATTGTTTTGGCTTCGATTGATATCTTAAATATATGAATTATAATGAGAAAGTAAAATAGGGATTTCTGCTTGCATCTATAGAATTAAGTAAAGTACCTTAATATATTTTAACTTTTTAATAATATTTAACGCTTGCACATGAAATTTTCTAACTTTCTTTCATAATAAAATCCCGTCTGAAAGATTTTTCCTAATATTTCGTCTTGTTTTTAGTAAAGCTTTTCATTACTAGAAAGAAAAATTCAATAATAGCGATACATGTGTTAGTGTATATAAAAATCCTCTTTCAGTCTTTAGATTCTTTTACCAAGTCTTTATATATATGTATAGATAATTTATTGCCAAAGCCTTCATCTCAGCAATATGCAAAAAGAAATAGATAGCTATAAAACTCGGTCCACACACCCCCATGACTTAAAAGTGGCGCTACAACCTTTTTAGGTCTGGGCTTTAGATTTCTACCGGATTTCCTCAAAATGTTTTCCTTCACCGTTTGAACGAATGTTGCGCACATAGAAATAAACTCAATTTGGGCACAGCTGGGGATCGAACTTCAGGATGAAAGTCGCACGCTGAAGCTACTAAGCCAACACTGCTCCACTACCCCCATTCTTTTAATTAAATAAGATTTTTGATTTAATGCCTGCGCAGTCTTCCTATACATAACAATAATTGTATAGTATTGTTGGAAAAGGCTGTACAGTGTACACCTTATGATAAATGATCAATAAGACTCATATATACTGTTATAATATATATCTGTCCATCGAGACTTCAAATCTCGGAAAGCCACTGGGTAAGTCTCAAAACACCCTTTGGTAATCGCTCAGTGTCTCCTCGGAGAACAATCTATAATCGGCGTGGAGTAGTTTAAAGGAAAAGTTTCATCTTAAACTACAGACGGTAGCTAGAAATATTCCCTTGCCATGTCTCATACAGACAACATTATTCCGCTTCAATGACTGTCAAATCCCTTTTAGAACTTTGTGGGTTCACTCAAACGGATATTAGATGCAAAAACTTTGCTCTGTCCCTTTTGATCGAGGGTTGAAATCTTGAAAGGTAATTAGGTAAAAAACGGCCTGCTGTCCCAACAATGCCTATTTTGAGGTCGGTCGTGTGAATTTGTTCCAATTAGCTAAATTGGGAAGATTTTTTTCATGAAATAGAAATTTATTGGTTAAAGCGTATGCAACAGTTTCTTGCCTTTTGGGATAGAAAGAAAGTCGGGTGAACGTATTTTTTTTTATTCATTTGTTTTTTTATTGTTTAAAGATATTCATTTTTGCTGCGGTTTTTAAAAAGATTGGCTCGGACTTTATGTCGCCCGTACGTTGAATTTCCAGTGCACATTTTAGTTTATTATTGCAAACAAAACTTGCTCATTCGGTAAAGGTAAGCACTACGCAGACAGAGGAGGCTCATCACAGGCCTAAATGGAACAATAATTTCTATATAAACCATGGTAGATAAATAAGAGGTCAACGTTTACTTTAAATATATTTAATAACTATGTACAACAATTTTTTTCTTATTAATGGCAGCTTCATTACAATAAATTCGAAATCTTATTTAAACTATATAAAATATTAAAATATATCTGAAATATATTAATTTATAAAATATTATAACTAGCGGATCTACATTCAATTCATTTCATACTTTAAATTCACGTATTTCGCACTCAGTTACGGCTCCAATGAGGTGGTTAATTCATGTCTAGACTCAAGAGGCTGGAAGCTTATGCATTACCAACTCAACATGAAATGCTTAGTGAGGGCTTACAACTTCAATAGTAATTCCGTTTCCAATATTTCGTTTTACTACCACATCATTCGTAGTTAGCAACATCACGCTACGAATATTCAAAGAACTACATAGAAATTGGGTTTCGTTAATCAATGGTGTCACAGTTTTTGGATTCAGCCAATACAAGTTTTACAGAATAACCCTGCAGTAAATCCTTAGTGGAGTCATAACCTTCTGCTATTCAGTTCCTACATTAACGTATAAAATGTAGAGTACTAAAAATACATTGTAACAAACAAACACATTATAAATGTTTACGAACGTCATGCACCATCAAGTTCTTTAGATAATTGTCATTGTTAGCGAAACACTCGACAATGTCGAAATGGTCCATGTCGTCTTTTATTTCCAAGTACATATTTTGCATAAGGCAAGTGTTATGTAGTAGTTCAAAGAACTCTCTCGATTGTTTCTTGAACGTCGGGCTATCGTTTTGACCCGCCAAAATGAATACTCTAACCCTTCGCACTTGCAAATGAACGAAACAGTCGAATTGGGGAGAGAGGGGTACAGCCCACTCGGCCGGTAATTGAACGGCGTCATTGATTGAGGTGTGTACTAGCTCTCGTAAATCGTACACCCCCGAAATGAGAAAAGCTCCCTGTAGACGCTGCGTGCCTGGCGTGTTGTCAAGGAAGTCGGCGTTCGCTAACAACTTAGCCACCAGGTGCGCACCAGCTGAGTGCCCGGCGAAATATACGCCTCTGAAATTAACACAAAACTTTTAATTTACAGTTTATATTATGTTATCCAATGGACGTTATAAGAAACAAGAAATATTATTGCTATACCTAATGTTGATAGCGTATGCAGTAAATAAATATATAAAAAAATATTTTTTCTTTTTACGTTAGTTCTTTAGCTACATAGCTTAGTTAGTTATATAGCTAGATACAAAAATAAAAATACTATTTATTTAAATATATACTCTATGGACAATCAAGTGATTTATGTGATCTGTGGTATTGGCGCCAATACAAACAGGCTTTAAACCAAGCCGAATTATGAATATTCATTTATAATGCGCAGTATATCGCTTGGTGTGCTTAGTGGCTTTTGTGGAATTATAATATAGACCCTTTGATTATACACATAGGTGTCTATATAATTAGAGTATCTGCTTACATTTAAATTTAGTATATAATATTTACTTTTTAATAATTGCTTTTAAATTTGTTTTATTTACAATAATATTGATTCAGCGAAGTAAAATAATTATAATAAAAGATTATATTATCGACTATGAAACTACTACTAGTATGATTTCTATAGTCGAGTAAATAAGAAGAATTAAACTTTAAACAAATAGGTGAGTGGTATAAAAATTATGACAAAAATTACCATGACTGAGTTTTTTTGGCTATTCTACCCATATCCTACTGTTTTACCATAAAAGTTTTTTGAGGTTAATATTTTTTTTGCCTAACGATAATTGGCAGGCGTTAGCGTTTTATAAAATAATTATTAGTTATTACAGTTATTTTTATAATTTAAATTGGCCATAAAATCTTTGGCCGCATCATGAAAGGATCAAATCTGTGATCGACCTTTAAAAAAACCTGTGGCGCTAAAACCCGTCGTTTTTTGGTTACGCCTGGCTCCTCACAATGTTTTCGTCCCACACGACATATATACTTTTAAAATATTAGATTAACATACCTTGACCCCATCTTTTCGGCGTATTCGAAGACGAATTTTGCGGCTTTTTGTATTTGGTGAATTATTTCTGGTAACGTAGCTGCAGGACACAGATCGTAACCAACAACTATGGTCTTGATTCTGGAATTGTATAATGGGAGCGCTGGATATCTGGAAATTTCTCTGGATAACTCCTGCCAGTAGCCACCATGTATGAAGACTAGTATTGGCGCATCTGCAAGTATAAACATAAATTTGATTTTGTGTACGCTTGTAGGTCGCTCTAGGGTCTTAGAAGAAATTATTTCGTGGCTGGCATGACCCATAGTCGCTATTCGAAATAGTGGGTCACGTGATTAAGCGTAAATTAATATCAGTGACTGATTATACTAGAGACTTGTGCTGCAAGCAAGAGCTTTTCAGCTCTTACTTGCAGTAAAAGAATAATTGTATCGTGTCGTCCTTTAAGACTTAAACAATAGGTGAGAGTGTTTATTGTTGAGAATTACTATCTCCGTTAGTGGTTACCTTTTATATCGTATATAAGCGGTCTTAGATTCCCTTATTAGTTAAGAAATAATAATGCTGCGATAACTTAGCTTTGAAATAGGCTAGTACTTTCAAACAACAAAAGGCAAGCATTCGATGGAAAATATTAATTTAGTTTAATTTCGCATATACTCAAAATCACAGGTGTTAATCAGATAGTCTGTTAATATGATAGCAACATATTTTCATTAGAACTGCTGGATCATGGAAATCTTGCAACTTGATAAGATTTGGAGTGATGTGTAGTTGTATGTCACGAGAATGAAATCGTTTCATTACACAAAAAGCAACAATCGATAAAACGTAATTAAATAAAATAAATACAGGAATAAAATTCCATACAATTCCCACATTATCAGACTATTCGATTGTTTGGCCAAACATTTCTAATTACTCAGCAAATATTACAACAAGTTAGTGCATTAGTACTATCATATTATATTCGTTTATCAGCAACATGGTCGCGAAACTCAAAACATTTAGGAAGAGATTAAGAGTGTGGATTCCACTAAGTAATACGTTAAATGTAATGTCATACATCGTATGTCAAATGGAATAATCTCATGATTCTGAATCTGAGGGTTGCATTCGAACCCTGGCTGTGCCGAACGGATTGTTCGGATTAGTTAGTACCTCGTACGGTCAGTGGTCCCATCATGAAGCATAGAAGACCAATCATCTGTTTGCCCAAAATAAAAATGATAAAAAGCAAATACGAGGCCAAAACCAATTTGCCTTTGGCTCTTTAAAAGCCATTAATTCAGGACAAGTATTACTAAAACAACCTCGCTATGCCCCTTTAAACAGATTTTTATTCTCTAAGGTTCTTAGTGTAAAAAAAATTCACTACAAAATAATAAAGTAATATAAAAATATTTTATCTATTTATCACTGATAATTTCCATCAGTGATAAATAATCATCGTGTCGAAGAAAACGAAATTTCTCGTGCCATATTTTAAAATCTTATAGAAAACCATAACTTATAAAATAACTCCGCAACAAAATTGTATCGCATTCATTGTTCATGTCGGGTGTTAAATTAACGCCGGCGAAACCATGACAATCACGTAAGTATTATACGCTAACCCAATAGAATCACTTTCGAATCAATTATTTACAAAGAAATACGATCGTTGAAGCAAATAATTTCCAAGTGTATAAATAACTTACGTAATTTATAGGTAATTAGCGAAATTAATCGATTTAAACGGTACAAATCCTTCAAAGCTGTGACGCAAGAGATTTTTAACACGAATGCATTTCAAGTATAAACAATCAAGTAATAACATGTTAAATGTACTTGGAAATCATTTAACAATCAAATCTACATAATCGCGAATATAACGAACCGATTCTAATTATTCTTTTAGTAGCTAATAAATTAATATAGATAATATTGAAGTAAAAATATAAAGCCTTCTAGGTCTCTGACGGAAACTGAAATCTGAGGCCCAGATTTCTGTTTCCGTTTCGTGATCTTTTATTTTTCTTAATAGACGAGTAGGTGAGCAGCCTTCTGTGCCTGACACACGCCGTCGACTTTTTTGGGTCTAAAGCGTGCCAGATTGGTAGCATTTCCTCGGGATTTTTCCGTCACCGAACGTTCGAGTGTTGAATACGAACATAGACAGCGTGGGATAGAGAGTAGTAGAGTCTAAAGCGAATGTCTAAAGAGAATGTAAAGCTGAAAAGTTTGAACGCGCAAATATGCTGATTCAAACTAAAATAAATATTATATTTCTTGTTAAATAATACATTATTGCGGAATTCGTATTGTAATTTAGACTGATTTAGTTATAAGAAAATTGCCCCATGATTAGAATTTCTTAGATCTCTATTAATAGATTATGAGAACACCGGCTGGAGGCTTATCTGATGTTAAGTGATAGTGAAGATGGAAACTCTCAATGCGTGCGTGCAGTTTAAGAATTGGTACGCTTACCTTTTCTTATGAAAATAATATCTTCGAAATACTTCCGCAACGTTATAATTATTACATACGACGTACGCATTTATGACGTACAAATTGGGACTCAAAGTACCGTTTTCAGGCTTGTGACACATAATATGGTACAAAAATTGTGTTATTCTTCAACTGGTGTGTAAAGTTTTTAATATATTTATATTGCCACGTCAATTATTTGAACAGGTTATGAAAAGCGATTAAAATGCTAATAAGCTTATTAATTAATATCAGGTAATGTTTGATTGTGTGGATGTATTAGTAGTTAATAACTTTATTCTCATTATCCAATGCCAATTTTATTCGAATGCGAACTTAATTATTATGCCAATTGCTCGATGCTATCGGACAGCAGTTATACAGCAGCATACGTAATCTCATAAATAAATTTTAAGGCCTTCAATTTACAGTACATATTTTTACGCCGTCCTACGTTATACGATTGTAAAACTAATGAGGCATGAAAATCTTACCGTCTGGAAGATCTGTGCCCAAAATGTCCAGTTTTTGCCCCAACGTTGACCCGTACTCGATCTCCAATTTATGTGGTACATTGTTGACAGCCGTCTCGCTTGCTGAAATGTCAAAATGATTCGTTATATATTCACTTATAAGTCCAGTGAAAAACCTAAATCATTTATTCATTAATTCAAAGGTAACACAATGTACACTTCTGAATGTTAATAAAGAAATACATAGTAAATGCTAACTGCTTCTAACTTTACATATAGGTACTGCCAGTTCTCAAATCAAGGGCGTAGAAGGAACGATAAGAAGTGGCACTCAACTCTCCGCTACTTATTTTAATCGCCAAGTTTATTGTTTTACATTTACATTTATATATTAATACCCTGATAAAAACTTAATAAATCTAATAACACCATTCTTAAGTAACATATCTCCTTTCATCACAGCGTAAATACAATTCAACAGAAAGAGACGAAAGAGTACGTTATACTGATTTAGTCTTTAAGGGAAGGTTTATAATTCTAACTTAGCCTCGAATTTTAAAATTAATTGAACCTTTTTAATCACGAGCGTTACGTCCATGCATAGCTGGATTTTTTTTAAATAAGTAATCGTTAGACTTTATCGCGTACTTTGTATATATATTGATGTGGTCTAAAAAACTGTAGTACATTACTTTGTTGTATTGTCAATAGTTTCCGCAGAGTACGCGATATAACGCTTTAATTAGTATTTATTTCACATGGTTTCACATATCGAAAATATCAATCGAATGCCTAATTTATATTCAAATATTCTATAGTATATGTTCATCAAGGACTATATAGGATTCTAATGGTTCAAATCCGTCCAGTAGTTTTGGAGTCTATGCAATGTAATAAAAATATCAAATATTTCCTCTATATTATATTTGCGTAGATAAATATATATATCATACAATTAAAAATAATAATATTTATTTAACAATAATTTTTTTTTAGAAATGGCAATTTAGGCAATTTTAGCATTTATCTAAAGATGTTTTGTATGCTTCCTACTTCATTATTTGATTTAACAAGTCGTACTTACCGCTGTCTTTCCGGGGAATCATTAACTGAATGACATGAAATACTATAACCATTGATTGGTTTAGCTGGCTGGATTATAGAACTCTACTTGGTCTTGGTACTTTGTAATAAGTCGATAAATGCCATTTGCAATTTAAACATTATCTATTTTATTGTTTTCACTCTTAATGACCCAATACAAGTTGCTACTAAATAGTGTTATGCATTGTTGGAGCAGTTTATTATATCTGTACAGTGTACATACATAGTTTTTTTATTTTAAAATTAATTTGTTTATTTAGAGACAATAAATTAAATCACAACATTAAATCTGTCGCAATTGACGCAATGCGGAAGTTTTAATCGAATGTAATTAAAACGAAAAGTCGAAAGTCTCGGACACATTTTGCGTCATCAACGGTCAACCTATACCTTTAGATTAGATATTTAAGGGAAAATACGTGCAGGTATAGAAACATACTTGCCGAATATATAATGTTACCTAAGACTCAAAACTTTAATAAAAATACAGCTTTCAACCTGCTGCCATGTATTCGAAACGATCAGCCTTTATCGTGATAACTAAACCATACAAACGATATTTGAAACTTCTTGCTTAGGGCAAACTATTAGATACTATAATATAAAACACAGCATGTTCTTACGCTTAATAATTAATTTACTTTAATTTATACCACTTGCAGTTATTCGGCATTTTATTAAAAGTATAAAAATTTGAATTTCAGACCTTTTAATGTTCGTTTAAAGCATTATTCATTACTTATGGAAACCGGTCCAATCCAAGGCAAGTAATTATAGTATCAAGATATATTTTGTCACGTGTTAACGATTCAAGCGTACAAACTGCGTAAGACACATCTACGCAGTTAGGTTGTGTTATGAAGGTTGGTTTGTAATAAATTTGAACCTACATGCGTCGGTGACAAAAGTCATTTACTGTAGTGATATCACAGGTCATCAGTCAATAAATCTTATACAGTTTAATATTGTCACAGTGAATCACTCTTGCAAGAGTATTTATCTCCGGCTATCATTTGCATAAGTAGTTCTGAGTACTTTCTTAACATAAAAAAACCAGTCTCAACGTTCGTGTGTTATAAAGTAGAACCATGGGGTTCAAAGCACAGGCATTCAAAGATTTAAGTTGAGAGCTGGTGCTTTTCTAGCTCAACGAAGAAGTTACGCAATACAACGAGGAAATGCTGCCAGTATAAAAGGTACACTGCCACAGGAACTAAACATTTTAAATTATTTTAGTGGTAGTTATTTTTTAACATTATTATGTACAGCTTACGTAAGATTATTTTTTTGAATTACAAATTAAGTATTAATTATAAAATACAGATAAATTTCAACCTAAATTTTTTTGGTACGGTATTTTCAATGACAACTGCAGTATGCTTCTTTTGTATTAGAAGCTTCCACAGCGCACAAGGCAGGACATTCACACATACACACATACAGACAGGATACGGATGTAGAAAACAGGATACGGATGTGTCAACATTGTGATTGTGTCAAATTTGATATATTTTAATGGAACATACAATTGAAACAAAACCTCATGGGCATTAAAAAAGTGTATCGGAAAATGCGACCGTGACCTTCATACTAAACATATTTATGATGAGAAACCATAGAAAATGTAATATAATCTGATAAAGTGATACCAATAAAACCACAGTGTAATATACAACAAAGTTCTTTACCCCATGTAAGGTGATACAAAGGAAATACATAACAAGCCACATTGAGCATAAGTTGTGTCATTTTTCATATTATTATTTTTTATTATCGATATTTGCAAACAAGTTGTTTGAATAAGTATTTATTTTTTAAGGAAAAACCAAGGTTTGTTGTTTATGCTGTTCAGGGGCCACTTATGCAGCTTAGTGCGATAGGCCTGGGTCTGTTTTCCATAATTTGAGTTAGGCTACTGCGTATAGAATGATGAATGTGAAGGAATCAATGGTAAAGGAAAGTCTATTCTTTACAACGTTATACGAATTGTACAACTTAAAAATATATACGTTAGTTTCAATTAATTATATTTATTTTTAGTTACTTAGCCTAACTTTAGCCCCGTTATTAAATCTTATATACTGTAACGGGTAGAAGATATTGCTAGTGATGCGTTGAATTTAATTATTATAAGTATGTATCTTTATGCAGGTATTATCTTCGGGGTAACAATGTTTCCTGTGCCAATAAACATAATAAACGTATTATCGCAGGTGACAGAAATACATCTGTATTTACATTTCCACATATTTCATTATATATCATTTCTTCATCATTATTTCCTTGTACTCGTTTGCGTCAAATGTCGTGTTTTATATGATGTAGTTCGTGAACATGTTACTTTATGAAAAATCACGGCCAAATTTACTAAAAAAATACCGTGTATTTAACAATAGTTAAGATCCACGCTGGATCCCTTATCATAACATGCCTGATTCTAGAAACACAGATTCTGATAAAAAAATTTATATAAAATTTCACGCTCAAGTGTAAACCGTCATGCCAATGACTGTAGAAAATCGATTGATAAACAAATTGCTGATTTAAATACTAAGGTATTGGCATTGATAAAATCTTAAACTATTTTCCTGTTGCTTATAATGCCAAAGGATGCATCTAATTCAAGACGGAATGAAATAATAACTTCCTACCTTGTTCGATGAACGAAATTTTTTTTTTTGTTCACAAAGCCAACAGAGTGAATTAACACGATAAATTAATATAAAATATGCCTGGCTTGGTGTATTTATAGACTGAACAAATATTTCAGTAAAAAATAGATAAAAAACAACTAATTATAATTACATTATATTGTGGCTTCCTTTTCCGAAATCGTGTTATATTTGTACGTGTTATTTATAGAATACTTTAGTATATGAATTAACGCGCATGGTGTGCGACCCACAGCGAAACTATAACGTTTTTAGAAAGTCAATGGGGCACTTATATCTCGATAATAACACTTTCATGGCATAGTTTTATTTTTGCTTCAATTTCTTTAAATTATTAATTGCACATTTAACATAGGTACATCTCAGAAAATACTATAGTTTATCTTTACCTGCAGTAACAAAGGCAACGTGGTGGTGTAGAACTTCTTGCGCGGAATTAAATCTGGTCGACCACCTGCTTGCAGAATACTCCTTCTCCAGATCCATATCTTCAAAAATAAGCGCCATTTTCTTTTCTTCAACCTTTAGAACAGATATTAACAATTAAACAGCGCAAAGTAACTAATAAGTAATTTCAAAGGAACATTATTAAAATATACAATAAAATTGTTTGATGTTTAAAAAGTGCGGTCAATCAATGTACTCGTAGTGGACATCTGCGCAGACGGTGTTAAATACGACTATTTATACACTGAAATTGTATTTTAAAAGAAAATAGTTTTGGTAAATCCTAAACATTTATTCAAAATTTATTTTGAACATGCTTTAAAGTTGCCAAACCTTTTTTTGTTTCGGCCTCGAAGTCACAATCCATTTATAGAATATTTTAAACATAAATATAATTTTGCGCATTTTCACTTAAACCACAGATAACTAAAACAACTAAACACTAAACACGATAATAAACTACGTAATACGAAGAAGGTATAATAATATCATTTGCAAAGACATAAAATAATCTAATCTACGTTGAATTGTTTCGGCTGTGGTAGACAGAATGTAAATTGATTGTGGAAATTTAAGACTGGTTTGTATGAAAATTTGATGATTCCAAATCATTGCGTAAAACTGCGTAGGCTTTTTATAATACTACTGACCCGTTCCGATTTCACTTGACGAACATATGTTGTTTGTAACTCACGACTTAGATAGTTATCATTTGACTGTTTATTATTATTGTTTGTTTATTATTATTAACAAAATATTTGTATTTCAAACGTCACAGCGTTTATAGATACGTTACGTTATGTTACGCCCTTGTTACGTTTATAGATAAAAAAAAGATTAAAATAATCGCTTATATGAGTTTACATTTAAACTTGTATTCTATTTATGTTCCTATGTGTGTAGTACCTAATACCTATGCCTGAGTGCATTCACAAAATACCCTCTATTTAGACATAATTAGTTTTTTGAAGATGTCCGGGGAATGCACATTTAACAGTATCAAGCAACCTATTGAATAAATGTGCGTCCTCGTAAGTAATAACCCTCTTTCCATAGTTCGCCTCACCTGGGTTAAGCCAAATAACTACCAGTGGTAGCAAGCAAAACTATGACTTTATACAATTTAGACATTGGGCTCAAATCTACTAAATAGTAACCATAAGCATAAAAAATTAAAGTTTACAAGCTGACTGTAGCCTTTTCGCCAAAGACTTACTGGCTTATTAACATAACACAAAACACCGGTTTATGTATATCCCGTACATATCTGAACAATGACAGGTCTGTTCCTGTCCGTTTTGTTTACATCAACAATAAGCAAAATGGCGTCTATATTAAGCCATACTTACTGCGTTAGCACTTATTTTGTGTCCCGGCCGAAAATTTTGTAAGCATAGTAAGTGACTTACTAAATTTAGTAAGTACTACTTCCCGAACAGCCCATTGTTTTGACTATATTTATAAATAACATATGCTTATAAAATACAAAATTAACACATTTTACACCCATATACATCAATTATATTACAACAAAGATATTATTTTCAGTATATTACTTAAATATTATATACGGATCTTTTTTAAATTACTTATTAATTACGGTCCCATCGAAATCTAATTAATATATAATATTTTTATCAGTAGTTTTATTTATACTTTAATTTGATTTTTATGCTAAGTTTTATATAGTATATTATGCTATTTTTGTTCCATTTTTCAATGTAACTAAAAGACTGCATTTAGTTATTTGGTAACTTTATCCGTGGAGGTTTATATAATTCCCGCCATGTGTCAAACACATTGCTATACGTTATTGTCATATGAATGTCACACTTAGTAGACTTCTTAGATATCATGAACTTGTAAGGTAAGGTAATGTATCCCCTATTTTAATTATAACTTTTATTACTTGTAACGTTACCTTTATTATAAAGAAAAATGAAAATGACTTGCGTGTAACTTCACGAGATCAGCTGCTATACAATGCAATGCACATCTTAGTACGAGTACTGGTAGTTTAAAAATAACTATATTAAGTATCGAACTACTCCAGTTAACTACATAGATAATTTAATCATAACAAAGGGTATCAATGAATTTATAGGACTTATTAAAGTCACGTATGTACAATAGATAAATCAATTAACAGCATTGTTATCAGGTTGTTGACGTTAATTGCAAATCTATTAAGTTTTTATTACTTTCGATACTAATGTTGTTGCTACAAGAAACTCTTATAGTATAAGCAAACGCTACAGGAGACTCACCTGATGTTAAGTGATATTATGCCAGAGGGCTCGCGAGTACGTTGCCGACCTTTTAAGAATTGGTACGCTCTCTTTTGAAGAAATTTGAATTTGTTCGGAAATACTTCAGTGGGCAACTAGTTCCACATAGTGGTGGTGCGCGGCAAAATTGCCTTAACAACGCTCAGTTTAGGAACGACGGACCACGAGATGATACGGGTGGAATTAATGGAGTAAATCTTCAGCTAATTATTATGTGCTTAGTGGAAATAGGAATACTGATGGATGCAAAGTAAATCCTACATCTGTCAACGGGTTCGCTTATACCTTTATTCTATAGCGTTAAGTGCTCTCGGCTAAAACAAACCTCATGAAACGGGTGTACCTTACACCTTGCATTGTGATATGAAATTCAATTGATTAACGGACCTTTATAATTGTCCGTTGAACTAACAAAATGATTAGCTATTATGTAATTTATTAATTTAATATAGGTTTAACAGATTTCCATATTAACTTACGTATCGGAACATAGGTATTTTGCACTATAAGGTATAGATGCAGAGCCAATTACAGGTTGACTTTGCTTGCGTTTAATAAGCCACGTTGTCTGCGGATTCGCGGCGAACTGACCAAATCTTTCCAGCCGAACCTTGACTTAGCGAGTCACTCATTCGCTTCATATTTATAATAGGTATTAATATTTTAAACCTTTTTGGTTGTATATTGCTTTTTGTTGTTCTATCTCGGGTTTTGTATAGTTGGTAGTATAAGTGTAAATACTGGTAAGCTATTTGGTCAAATAAATAAGTGTTACCTGTGTTCCGAAGTGTCACTCTAGTGAATAAGGCGTAGGGTGATATGATATATCGTATAGACTTCCTCGACGAATGGACTGTCCAACAAAATTATTTATTTCGAAGCATTTGTTACTTAGATCGGTTAACTAAGCAAAATAAACATAAGTAATAGTACATAATATATTGTGGATTTTTGTTTATTAAGCTGTGTATTTATTTCGTACTATCTAATTTAAATTATATTTAACAGAAAAAAACAATTATACTAAAAACTTAACCATAAATGGAATACACAATAAGAAAAAAAGAGTATTAATGTTCAATTCTCAAAACATCTTATAATAGTACGGGAGGTAGCAACGTTTGAAAAAAAAGAATTTTAGGTCAGCTGATTTTGTGATATGTCTTCCTTCTTGCACTTCCGGTTAGAGTCTGGGCAATCTGGCTGGCGGTAGTGGTTGCGTTCATTAGTGCGCATCCTATCTGTCCAGGTAAAAATCCTGGATTTTAAAAGCATTTTAAGAAGCGTAATTTTTAATTTTTCGTTTTTAAATACGTCTACCTGACATACTTTTTTTATTGCCAGACATTTTTCACGTTGCTAACTATGTGCCAGACGCGATTTTAAGTTTTATTTTTATAAAAATTTCAAAGCATTTTAGAATGTCTGTAACTTTAATATTATGTTATTTAAATATAAGAAAAACTGAAAATGAATTTGCCAGACATTAATTCGGTTGTTAAGTCTTGAATTAAAATGATAAAGTTTTGCAGTATGATGAAGCATTGCATTTTAAGAAGCGTAATTTTTGATTTTTCCTTTTAAATACGTCTACCTGACATACTTTTTTTATTGCCAGACATTTTTCACGTTGCTAACTATGTGCCAGACGCGATTTTAAGTTTTATTTTTATGAAAAATTTCAAAGCATTTTTAGAATGTCTGTAATTTTAATATTATGTTATTGAAATATAAGGAAAACTGAAAATGAATTTGCCAGACATTAATTCGGTTGTTAAGTCTTGAATTAAAATGATAAAGTTTTGCAGTATGATGAAGCATTGCATTTTAAGAAGCGTAATTTTTGATTTTTCCTTTTTAAATACGTCTACCTGACATACTTTTATTATTGCCAGACATTTTTCCCATTGTTAACTATGTGCCAGACGCGATTTTAAGTTATTTTTTATAAAAATTTCAAAGCATTTTAGAATGTCTGTAATTTTAATATTATGTTATTTAAATATAATAAAAACTGAAAATGAATTTGCCAGACATTAATTCGGTTGTTAAGTCTTGAATTAAAATGATAAAGTATTGCAGTATGATGAAGCATTGCATTTTAAGAAGCGTAATTTTTAATTTTTCCTTTTTAAATACGTCTACCTGACATACTTTTTTTATTGCCAGACATTTTTCACGTTGCTAACTATGTGCCAGACGCGATTTTAAGTTTTATTTTTATAAAAATTTCAAAGCATTTTAGAATGTCTGTAACTTTAATATTATGTTATTTAAATATAAGAAAAACTGAAAATGAATTTGCCAGACATTAATTCGGTTGTTAAGTCTTGAATTAAAATGATAAAGTTTTGCAGTATGATGAAGCATTGCATTTTAAGAAGCGTAATTTTTGATTTTTCCTTTTAAATACGTCTACCTGACATACTTTTTTATTGCCAGACATTTTTCACGTTGCTAACTATGTGCCAGACGCGATTTTAAGTTTTATTTTTATGAAAATTTCAAAGCATTTTAGAATGTCTGTAATTTTAATATTATGTTATTGAAATATAAGGAAAACTGAAAATGAATTTGCCAGACATTAATTCGGTTGTTAAGTCTTGAATTAAAATGATAAAGTTTTGCAGTATGATGAAGCATTGCATTTTAAGAAGCGTAATTTTTGATTTTTCCTTTTTAAATACGTCTACCTGACATCTTTTATTATTGCCAGACATTTTTCCCATTGTTAACTATGTGCCAGACGCGATTTTAAGTTATTTTTTATAAAAATTTCAAAGCATTTTAGAATGTCTGTAATTTTAATATTATGTTATTTAAATATAATAAAAACTGAAAATGAATTTGCCAGACATTAATTCGGTTGTTAAGTCTTGAATTAAAATGATAAAGTATTGCAGTATGATGAAGCATTGCATTTTAAGAAGCGTAATTTTTAATTTTTCCTTTTTAAATACGTCTACCTGACATACTTTTTTATTGCCAGACATTTTTCACGTTGCTAACTATGTGCCAGACGCGATTTTAAGTTTTATTTTTATAAAAATTTCAAAGCATTTTAGAATGTCTGTAACTTTAATATTATGTTATTTAAATATAAGAAAAACTGAAAAT